TCTAAATTTGTTCAGCAGACCTCTGTGTATTGTAATATAATACATACTATTATATAATGCCACTCACCTTTACAACAAAAGTCTCCTTATTGACCATACTTTGGACAATCAGGACCTTTGGAGTGGAAAAAAAAATTACAATCTGAAAAACAGATAACTGAAGGACCAGTATTTTTTTTAAGGTTTAAAGTTTTTTGTTGTGTTTAATATTTAAATTATTAATTTTTTAAAAATGGACCATCTTATACCTTATCAGCAACACCGATAACCTTGCACATTTCCAAGTCCTCCACTGGGGAACTCAAGTGTCTGATTGGGCGGAATCTGAGACTGCTGTAACCCTGGTTAAAAAACAAACACGTTGAAGTTCCTGGATACTACTTAGATAAAAATAAAAATGAAACTCAGGATTTCTTGTCTTACCCCTAAATGAGAACTCCCTTTCCCGAGGTTATCCTGCAGATGTGTGATGAAGATTTCCTCCGCTCTTTTCAGATACTGCGTTGTCTTTCTCTTCACTGCCTCTCGGCGCTCTTTGTTAGGGTCCACTGTGAGACAATTCAGGTCAAATACTGGCTGCAGCTTTGTGAACTGAATACAGTAGATCACACAGACTAAGACCCTGGTCTGATTAGATCTTCTGGCCTTTGATCCTATTTGAGAAACCATGACACTCTGCCCTCTATCGACACTGAAAAAATGTCTAACCAGCAAATTAAATCTGTGCTTAACCTTTGGTTTGTCACTTCCTGTATTTATTCCTGTCATTCCTATCACATGAATGCTGCAGACACGCCTCCTAAATTCCCCTATTCTCTGTTGCGTAGTCTGAAAAAAGAAATCTCAAGAAAATAAACAAGCACTGCCACTTACACTGTACTCCATTCAGTAACAGGTCCACTCCGTTCTTATAGTAACTGAAAGCTGCCTCATAATCCTCGTTGACCTCACTGTCCAGTGCCATGCGGATCTGTTTGGCTGCTTCCACCAGGTAGTCTCTCTTTGCCATGGCTACCTTGGTTTGGACCCGTCCAGGTCCAGCTGGGCCTGAGCACAGGTTAAAAACTGAGCCTTTTTTATTATAAAAATGTAAAATATTACCTTTAATCATTCTTTGTTGGACTCACCTTCGATCCCCGTTCTTATCAACAACAAGATTCATCTCTGTCCTTTGTCACTGATCTCAGTGTGCCTTTGGGGAGACTGTAGTTTAGGTGTTTGAGGCGGAGCATGATCATCTGAGAATGAGGAAGCAACAGAGAAAACCTCCAGACCGTCACAGGAAGTACCAGCTCCTGCCTTCTATTTATAATGAATAGAAAAAAAAAAACAGAGCTGTGTGCGTCCAGGACGATGACTCAGAATACTGTGGAACATTGGTTTATCTCTGAGGTTAAATACTCACGTGTGACATGAATATAGTCGTATAAACTACAGGCCGCAGTACATATAATGTTGTCATTGCACATTAACTATTCTAGGCCAATAAAACTTGGCACAGAAACACACATGTACTACACTGTATTTAGAGTAGTATTTGTCTAAAATATAGACAGTGTGGATTATTTTTCACACTTTTGTTCCAAAACCCAAATAAACCAAGAGGATCCTTTATGTTACTACTGTAGTGCAGTGATCACAATTCATGAATATATATTTCATTATTCCATTATTGAATGTTAATATTATTTCGAAATATCCCTTTATATTTATCTATCAGGGCGAAACACACGCACATTTCCACCCTATTCTGGTAGCACTCCTGGAGGCGGCATCATCTATCGTGTGTTATCATGCACAAAGCCATCGACAGTTTCCTCCATTACCATTCGTCACTTTCACAACACACACCCTCTCACAACCACTGTAAGAGCAATCACTTCATCCTCATCTAAATGCAGAAAGAGATGAAGAAATCACTCACACACACACACACACACACAGTATGTACCTGATGTGAGGCGATCATGCTCTGGATCCTTTGCCTCGGCAGCAGCAGCAGCAGCATCAGCAGCAGCATTAGCAGCATCAGCAGCTCAGCTCCATGTCTTCAGTAGCCTCAACACTTGCATCTCAGTAGCAGGAAAGGAGGAGACGGCTAAGGACAAGGCCTCTGATTGGTCGAGCGTGATGTCACGTTTCCAGTACCACTTTCACACAAGGGGGCTCACTCCCTCCACCCCTCGCTCATCCTGACAGATGCTGGCTGCCTTAAAGAGACAGTGCTGCTTTTGTGTGAACTCACTGAGAGCCTTTTTCAAGCCTGACTTTGTACTTCAAATATATCCTTTTTTTCCAGTTTTGAAGTGACTTACTGAAGATTTAATATTAAAAGAGGATTTATAAAATGATTAATGTAAAGCAGATTGGCCCTGCTGTCTTCAGCAATTGCCAAAGCCATCAATCCTGCCCAGCATTCATAATCAGTTAGGTCTTAGTGCTTAGTACCAAATGGAGCGAGGCTCAGACCACAACACAAAGGAGAGTTATACCCACCCCAGGGGAGGGCCGGTTTACAGAAAGGGGGAGGAAGCTTTCTACTTTATGAGGGAGGGTGTGTGCATGATGTGGCAACCGAATCAATAAAGCAAAAAAGGAGAAAAGGTGGTTTCCATTATTAAATTCTAAAATAGAAAATAACTGTCAAGCTGTGAGAGCTTGTCTGTAGGTTTCATGATCAGCTCCAGCACCGGTACTCATTAATGTGTAAAAGTAGATGTTAAAATATGACAACACCTTTAAGATGCTATTCTTGGCAAAACCACAACTTCTAAGGGTAAAGATTTGACTAATTAAACATTTTTCCCCCAGTGAGCACATAAAAACAATACCACTCAAACAACTCACAACTAAATTTGTAATTCTCTCTCTTTTTTCCCCGTTTGAGCAGCTAACTATACAGATCATCTCCTCCTTATTCTTTTAATCACAACACTAGAATGACAGAGTCTGTCAGCACACGTTTCACTGATATCTATTCGGATCCTCTGCACTACGTCACGACTGTACTTGATCCGCGTTACAAAGATTATTACTTGGATGCGGGGATAAAGCAGCACGCACAAGAAATGATCCAGCAATTGACTTAAATGTGTTTTTATGAGAGAAGATTGAGTTTACAATCTTTCTGTACATTGTTACATTGTGCAAATAAGTAGGGTCAAGTTTAACATTTAGTTTATATTTGTTTTAGTCTTTGAAACATTAATGTTAGATGCAATATCCATCAGTATATTGAGGTTTAGTACACATTCATTTCTTTTTGTGTTCTGGTTTTTTCAGTATATATATATAGTTTCTCATAACCTAAAGAAGAACTTGGGTCTATCTGGCCAGTGCTTCAGTTGCACAACAACTGAAGTAGAAATCCCATCCAGTCCGAAAGAAATCTGATACATAAGTCTTATTGCTTTTCTGAATGTTATTTACCAAGGTTTAAAAACCAGCATGAATGCAGTTGGTCTTGATTGGTTTTCTTTACTTAATATACATTAGATAAAATAATTTATTCTGTATTTCACATTAAATATAATGTTGCACTTTAGCTAATAGTGCACATAAACCAGCAAGTATTTTTGCGCAGTTGCGAATCTGGCATTCGTTTGAGCATTTATCCCCCATGGACATTCTGGCTTCAAGGACTGGGAAAATATTCTGTGTTGTTTTGTTTCATCCGCTAAAAAGTTTTGGTGTGGAGAATTAATGTTAGTGGTGTAAAATGTTGTCGATCAAAACATGTAGATTTTTGAAGTTGGATATCTGCTTTAATCCAGTAGCCCCAGCATATAGATAGGTGGCTCTCTAACATGACTGAATGATCACTATCGGACTTTATGTACGTTTATTCTGTAGTCCTCTTCTGGTTGCAGCATGTGAACTGATCCCATGGGAAACATTTATTGGCAGATTTGCACTGGCAGGTGTCATAATGCTAGTTTAATGACTTTCATACGATAGATAGATAGACAGGTATATAGTAAATTAAGGAAGATTGCGGGTATCCATATGATATATGCAATAGTTATGCTCTGTGAAAGTAGTAAAAAAAAAAAAAGTAAGTGCTGCAGAGCGACCAGAAGGTTGCTGCGGTCAGCATCATGTTATACATATATAATTTATCTTTGATATTTTAGATGTTTCCTGTGCAAACAAACAAATATGTGTTATTGTTAACATTGTCTGTTCCTTGAAGGACGATAAAACCAATGCAAATCAATGACATGAAGACCCTTTTTTAAATGCTTCAGTTTGATTTTATTCAGAAAATGGGACAAGACTACTTCACAGAACTACAGAAACAAAGAAGGTCAGTGGTATGACACGGTCGACCACTAATAAGAAGGCATCACTTTTCGTTGAACCTCACATTGTAGGACACATAGTAGCCATCGTTGTACATGTAGAGCTTCTGATCAGTTGGGTTGTAGTCCAGGCTGCTGTACTTCTCCTGGAACTTCTGGAACCGAATGTTGAGGTTTTTCTCCTCCTTTGTCCTGGTGTCATAGGCATAAAAGATTTCCTCTGTGGTCAGATCCACAGACCTGGTGGCGTACATGACTCCACAGGCCATGAAAGCATTGCCAGTCTGCTGCTTGTAGGCGTTTGTTTTCCACTCATCAGCAATACCAAAGGACTTCTCATCTACCTTGGCAAGAATAATTTTACCCATGCTCTCCTCTGAGGCATACATTACCCATAGGCCCTGCTCATCGCCTGAAAAGTCAATGTTCTGATTGTCAGAGTAACTGTATGAGAAACTTGCACTAGCAGCTGGGATCACTCTGTAGTCATATTGGTTACTGGTCAAATTTAGCTTAGTCATACTGAAAGGTGAGTTGTGCTGGAAATACACGGCGTGATTGCGAACAATATAATTATTACCAGTACCTATCCATTCATCTGAAAGGTGAATTTGTTTAAAGTTATGTCTGAGAATCAAATTTTTGAAGTCAGTGTAAAAGTAGAAGTTATACACATTTGGAGTCCTGAATGAACCGTAGAAGTACATGGACTCATAACCTCTTAGAGGTTTGGAGTCCTTTCCCCAGCCCCCAAAAACATAACCTGAACTCAGGTGAGCATTGAGTTGGGCCACCATTGGTTTGCTGATGCTCAGGATTCCACTGTGATTACAGTTGCCTGGATTGAGAAAAGTGAAGTAAATATGATGAGAAATGTACATTTATCATTTATCATGTATCTCTGATGTGTTGCCTTACCAATATCTGGCTTGATGTTTCCCTGGTCATTCTGGCAGTCCTCCAGCTTCTTCTGCAGCTTAGCAAACTCAATGCGGATCACTTCAAGGTTCTTCTTGTCGTAGGTCTCCAGTTGGTTCACGATGAGCGTCATGTTTTGAATCTTTTAAAAAGACAAACACTTGAATTACCAAGAAAGCTAACAATTAGACAAGAAAAGTCACAAGTATGTGTTCAAACATGTCTGTTTACCTCAGTATACAAACTGTCAAACATGGGTGAGGATGAGTTGAGAGAGTCTTTGAGCTGAGTCACCAGAGCCTCAAATTCTCTGAGCTCAATCCTGAGCAGCTCAAAGTCCAGTTTGATGTAGTCGGCAGCAGTGGTATCCATCATGGTCAAACGGACGGTCAAGTTCAAAAGTTCTTTCAAATAAATCTCCAGTTTACCCTCGTAGCTCACCAACTGGGAAATGGCAAACAACACCATTATGATGATGATGATGATGTTTTTTTAGTCATCATTCTGATATTTATATCTACTGTACCTTTTTCTTCTGGACTTCCACTTCCACCTTCAGTTCATTGTTGACTTCTTGCATGTGCTCCAACCGATCAGCAGGGAACATGGTGTCAGGCAGATAGACATGACAAACGCATTGACCCGAGTCACCTACTGATGCAGTCACGTTGCCAGATTCCCAGTCCTCCACTGGCTGAAAATAAAATCAAGTCAGTCTCGAATAAAACTCATACTCATATGTGAATGGTTCAGCTGAGAACAACAAAAGTCACTTACAATCCAGGCCAGAGCAGGACTGAGGTCTAGAAGGAACAGCAGTAGAAGTGGCAGCATTGTGTCTCAGGTTATCGCACAAGTGCCTGGACAGAGACCCGATCACAGGGATTTTGACGACACCTCTTATCAGATCGTCACACACAGCTGCTCTTTTCTCATAGCTCTAGTTCAAAATAAATACAATTATATATTGTATAAAAAAACCCACCAGATGAGATCCTTGTTTGTGCTCAAATCCCACTGGCAATCAACAGCTTCAGGTCAGACCTGGATGAGAAAAATATCAGGTGTGTTATACTTCTTCTTGTTTGCAGCAAACAAAGCCAGCAGTATATCCTGTTATGAAACTGTTTAATATATGAGGGAGTTATACAGTGAAACCTTGAGATATGAGCATAATCCGTTCCAGGACCGAGCTCGTAACTCGAGGTGCTCGTATCTCAAATAATTTTTCCCTTAGGAAATAACAGAAAAAAAAAAGAATCTGTACTGGCCCTCTAACAAAAAACCTCCCTGGTTATTGCTAATAAAAAAAATACTATGTAAGGATTCCTGTGATATAAAAATGTGGTTTTAATTATGAGTCCTTCCCTCAAGACAGACGATACAGTAGCGGCTAATGGTAGCATGTGTGGAGGAGGAGAAGGGAGGGAGGAAGTGAGGGAAGAGAGTTGGCCCCTACGTAGACACCTTATTCCGTACCGTACCCTACACGTACACTGCGCAACTTACATAAACTTAGAATCAACTTAACGTATGTATTTTGTTCTTTTACTTTTCTATTTTTTCGATTTGTATTCTTTCTTTAGCGGGCACCACACTCATATTTGTCGACAGTTTCATGCTTTATTTCCATGGTCATTATGCATTTCTTCTTCTCACTAGCATCCTTACCACTCACTTTCTTAGGACTCATCATTATGAAGAATAATGCACAAAATAGCGAGAAAATCACGTAGATAATGCAAACACAATACGGAAGACTCACGGGAGATACGTACGAAATATATACTAAAAATACTTTATCAGATAATGTCTTGTGTGATAGTGGCTGTCACTATTCAAATGCAGTAGGCATAAAAGTTGATGTAGTCCAGTAGCCCCGACATGGGGTTGACTGGCAACCTAAATGCATACATCAAAAGGAACTTTCTATTCATAACACTACTCAAAATCCTGGACTTCTGGACTGATGTGGACAGCATTAATTGGACCAAGGAAACACCCCGTGCAATAATTGATCACTGGTCCTTGTTTTAAACCTCTTATGGGATTTTCACGCTGAAAGCGATAGGCATGGATTGAGCAGCAGTCCCACATACACAATCAGTTTAAATGGTGCACTAGATTTAATGTCAGGCGGCATGATTGGAACTTCAGATGCAACGCAGATCAAGCAAAAGAGCTGCTAAAATGTACCGTCTGGGAATTCTATATTCCCTAAATTATCAGAAATCCTTTTTGAAGAGACACAACCCATGTTCTCTTTTATTTGGTATAATGCTTTTGGCAAGTTGTGAAAAACAATGACACTGACTCGTTATTTAAATGCTTCAGTTTGATTTTATTCAGAAAGTGAGACAACACTACTTCACAGAACTACAGAAACAAAGAAGATCGGTCGTATGAATCACAACACGGACGACCACTAAAAAGAAGGAATCACTTTTCGTTGAACCTCACATTGTAGGACACATAGTAGCCATCGTTGTACATGTAGAGCTTCTGATCAGTTGGGTTGTAGTCCAGGCTGCTGTACTTCTCCTGGAACTTCTGGAACCGAATGTTGAGGTTTTTCTCCTCCTTTGTCCTGGTGTCATAGGCATAAAAGATTTCCTCTGTGGTCAGATCCACAGACCTGGTGGCGTACATGACTCCACAGGCCATGAAAGCATTGCCAGTCTGCTGCTTGTAGGCGTTTGTTTTCCACTCATCAGCAATACCAAAGGACTTCTCATCTACCTTGGCAAGAATAATTTTACCCATGCTCTCCTCTGAGGCATACATTACCCATAGGCCCTGCTCATCGGCTGCAAAGTCGATGTTCTGATTGTCAGAGTAACTGTATGAGAAACTTGCACTAGCAGCTGGGATCACTCTGTAGTCATATTGGTTACTGGTCAAATTTAGCTTAGTCATACTGAAAGGTGAGTTGCGCTGGAAATACACAGCATGATTGCGAACAACGTAACTGTTACCGGCACCTATCCATGAAT